TGGGGGTGTGTCTGGGGGGTGGGGGTGTGTCTATGTGTGTCTGTGCTGGTGCTGAGGGAACGGGCCAGCCTGCTGCCTGCCTCTCACCAGCTGCTGCCTCACCCAGGAGAACCGCCGCCGTGCCAAGGAGGAGGTGTCGGCCATGGAGGAGGAGATGGCTTTGGCTGAGGAGCAGCTGCGTGCGCGCCGGGAGGAGCAGGAGCGCCGCAACCCGCTGGGCAGCACGAGGTAGGTGCTGGCCCTGCTTGGCCAGGCGTTGCTGGTTTAAGAGCAGTAGTGAGCTGCCTGGAGGATCCCGACTTCCCCTGGGCACTGCAGTGCCAGGAAAGGTGGCAGGTTCCACTAATGGCCCTTGTCCTCTCCTGGCAGATCTACTAAAATCTACACCCCTGGGCGGAAGGAACAGGGGGAGCCCCTGACACCACGACGCACGCCAGCCCGCTTTGGCCTCTAAGGCAGTAGCGCCCGCTGCTTTGAGGCTTAAAGACTCCCAGGAGCAGCTGAGTCTTAGGAGAGGGCCCAGCACCTCTGATCACTGTACTGTGAGGTGCTCTACAGCTTGTGGCCCAGGAAGGCTTTGGTACTTGGCACTAATTTTGCTACAGAACAGAAAGAATTTTATTTGTTTAAAGGTTGTCAGTTTAATCCTTGCTTTGTTTTGCACTGCTTCTTGTCCGGGAGGCGAGTGTCGGGTGGGGGCGGCCCTGCAGAGTGGTGCAGGGCTGATTCCGTCTAGTCATTGTCCTGTGGAGGCTGGGACAAGGCACAGAACTGCGCTGACCTAGAGGGCCAAGAGCCCAGCCCCGGCGCAGCACTGGCCCGTGCTGCTGCAGAGGCAACTCTCCCATGGCCGGTGCCCCAGGCGGGCAGCCCCGGCCTGGAGCAGGGGCCCAGCCCCATGTCAGGCCAGGCTGTGCCCCCAGTCTCCTGCTCACCTACAGCCGCTCGCGCTTGTGCTCGCATGTTCTGACCACGAGGTACATGTTTTCCTCCTGCCCCCTGCCCCCTGCCCCCTGAAGATGCCTGGTGGGCAGGCTGGGGGGGTGGGGGGAGGCGGGAGCACGGGCAGGCTGGTGGTTGTCCGTCTGTCCCCTGCACCCCTGCAGACAGCAGCAGCGTGCAGAGAGCTCGGCCCTGCTCCCCGTCAGCTCCACACTCTGCTCGCTCTGCTGCTGGATCTCCTGCCCTTGTCTCTCATGTAACTGCCTGGAAACAAGGTGTTAGCTGAGCGAGTTGGTGGGAGGAGGCAGCCCCTGTCCCTCTGCCCTGGTGAGGCTCCGCACTCACATCCGCTCCGCCAGGTGCTGGCTGATGTTGACCAGCACCAGCTCCCTCTCCTTGTGTGTCCGGCTGCTCTTGTGGCGTGCCAGAGCCTGGGAGGAGCGCAGGGTTTCTATCTGGAAAGAACGACACCCGTGACCCGTGTGAGCCAGTGTGGCTGCTCTTCCCAGCCTCTGTGAGCCCGGGACTGGTTCCATGCTGAGGGGCTTCTGGCTAGTGATGGAGCAAAGGGGGCTAGTTCAAGAAGGAGGTGTCCCGCCCTGTTGCTGCCAGACCCACAGCCTCCTCCCTTGGTGGCCTGTGATCTGCTGTCCCCTGTCCTGCCCTTTCCACCCCTCTCCTGCCTCTGGGTCAGGATCTGTCCCTCCCGGGTGCTGGGGCCCCAGCCTACGCTCCCGCCCTTGGGCCATGGTGCTGCCCAGCCCCATCCCGCACCTGCTCCGTGGCCTTGCTGAGCTCTTCCTTGAGGAACAACAGCTCTAACTTGCAAACCACCAGCTCCTCTTCTCGTGTAGCCAGAGCCTGCTGGCTGGCCCAGTGCAGCTGCTGCCAGTGCTGGGCTCGGCTGCTCAGCTCCTGCAGCTGCTCCTGCAGGGCCTGGGCCTGCCCGTGGTGCAGAGGCCGTGAGGGGCTGAGCGCAGCCGCCCGCTGCCCTGCGCAGAGGCCTGGGGACACGCTCACCTCCTGCTTGCTCCGCTCCTGGCACCCCTGCAGCTCCCTCAGCTCCCAGAGGAGCTGCTGCCTCTCTTCCTTGTAGGCCACAGCCTTCGCCTCCTGCTTGGCTTTCTCTTGCTGGGCTTGGGCCAGCTCTGCCTGCAGCGTGGCCGTGTCCTGCGCCTGTGCGTGAAGTTGTGGGGCAGGGAGGGTGGTTGGCCAAGCCCTGGGCAGGCCAGGGCTCCCCCCAGTGCTTTGGTGGGGGCTGGCTGCGTCCTGCGCCCCGTCCCTGCCCTCACCTCTTGCAGCAGCTCTGCCAGGCGCTTTCTGGTGGAGGCTGCTTCTTGCTGCAGGTCATGGATGGTCTCTGTGGCACCACTGAGCTGCTGTAGCCTTTGCTGCTCCCGGGCCCAGGTGGCTCCCAGCTCCTGCTCCAGCCGAGCCACGCTGTGCCGCAGGCCCTGGCTCTGCTCCTGCTCTGCCCCCAGCTGCAGCAAGGGCAGTGCGTGAGCGGGCGCTGCGCTGGGTCTGTGCCCTCTGCTGCTGCTGGTCCCCATTCACACACACCCCCCCCCGCTTTGCTGCAGGGCTTTATTCTCTCCTGGGGGTGCTCCCCCCCACACGCCATCTCTGCTGACAGCCCGGCTGCCCTTGCAGCTCCCCCTGCCCCTGGGTTATCCACAGGGGCAGGGGAGAGCGGGGCCGGGCTGCTGGGGGAGGGTCCCACAGGTCTTGCCCACTCCCTACCTGCTCCCTCAGGGCCTGGAGCTGCTCCTGGCTCCTCTGCAGCTTCTCCTGGGTGCAGGTGGCCGCGTGCATGTGCTGCAGCGCCTGCTCCAGGGTTGCCTGCTGCCTCCACTGCCACCCGCTCAGCTCTGCCCGCAGCTGCGCCGCCGGCTCCCTGAGGCAGGGCACAGCCTCAGCC